AAGATTGGGGGGAGGTATACTGGATGTGGGGGCACACTGAAAGATTGGGGGGGGTATACTGGATGTGCGGGGGGACACTGAAGGCACTGCTTGCTCCTGCCGCGGAGGCTCTCCTGCACTGTTGGCACTAATCAATATTATCGGCAAATTTAAGACCGATTATTCAAAAATTTTTGAATATCGGCCAAAATAATCGGTAGATTCCTCCCGAACCCCCCCCCGTATATACATATATACGCTTATTTTTTTACTTGTATACTCATTGACGTGTGTAGACTGTCTGTCTGTAGGTGTCGGTCTACACAGGAGCCAGCTGCATTTTGTCAGCCGCTCTTGCCGTGTAATACGAAGCAATTACCGGCTGTCATTTTGACAGCCGTGGGAAAGCGGCAGCGGGGCAGAAGAGCCGGATGTAAGAGATGCGTCCTAAGAACTCCGGATATATTTGGGACGTATCTGTTCTGTTCAGAATCCTCAAGTGGTTGAAGTGAACTTGGGTCATGCCGCACAGGTTTTTAAATGCTGCCTTTCCCAGGTGCCCATGCTTGCCTTTCCCAGGTGCCCATGCTTGCCTTTCCCAGGTGCCCATGCTTTCTTGCCTTTCCCAGGTGCCCATGCTTGCCTTTCCCAGGTGCCCATGCTTGCCTTTCCCAGGTGCCCATGCTTGCCTTTCCCAGGTGCCCATGCTTGCCTTTCCCAGGTGCCCATGCTTGCCTTTCCCAGGTGCCCATGCTTGCCTTTCCCAGGTGCCCATGCTTGCCTTTCCCAGGTGCCCATGCTTGCCTTTCCTCCGTCTCCTGGGTGTATCGGGAGACCGCACAGGGCAGAGGGAAGCGACGGGCCAATCTCCAGCTGCCTCATACTCTGAAGTACTGGCGGGAGATGGAAGGGAACATATGAGCTGCGGGGTAAGGGAGGCATGAAAGCAACCTGTACTATAAACCTCCCCTGCCCTCCTGGCTCCCTGACTCCGATGTCACGTTGCTGTATCCGCCGCCGGCGCTGCGTCTCCACAGACGGGAACTAAATCTCTCGACTTGCACTCCGCTATGGAGTCGCTGCGAGAAGGAGACATATGTCGCTCTGTCACCGCTCCCTTGCCAGCGATTAAGTTTCCGCGGTGCCTCGGGCGCCGGCGCTGCCACTTCC